AGCTGGCTACTATATTAGAAAAGTGATTCTAGAGGGGAAAGTTGGGGGCAGTGGGAAGAAACATCTGGGATCCGGGCATGTTCCTAGCATAAGGAGAAAGGTTGCAGTCACCCAAGCTGCCTGAGAAGGGGCCAGGCATCCAGGAGGCTACGTATCCCTGGTTCTTGGCAGGGATGCATGCAAGGAGGGGACTGGCCTCAGTGGCTTGGAAGAGTCTGTAGTTCGGGTTGCTCCTCTAAATGGCCGTATGAGGGGGGGCAGTCTGTGCCTCAGACCCCAGTGGCATCGGTTTTTGTAAAAGCCGTTTTGAACTCTCCATCCCAGCGTGCCCATGGATCTTTTTGTCATCACACGCCGGATAAGAGCCTGGCTGTAGCCAAAGGGTGGGAAGCTGGACTTGGGGGAGCTGCCAGCTTCCTTCCCAGCACTCCACCTCGACCCTTCGCTGCCCCCTAGCGCCCCCCTGGAGCCTGTCTAATCTGATCCAGGCCTGACCTCTCCAGAGGTCCTGGACCGGGAGGCAAGCTCCCCGCCCTCCCTGAGCTGCTCTAGAGCTGGCTCTCAGGAGACCCCTCCCCTTGGGGTGATTTATGGGGGTGTCCGGGAGCGTTTCCTGCCTGTTTCTGCTCTCTCCCAGCTCGGTGGGTTGCTGGGCTCACTCTCTGCCCTTGCTTTCCCGGTGGCCTGGCTGTGCCCCAGGTCAGGGGCGAGAGGGGCGAGGGGATTCCTTCCCAGGTTGCATGGGAACAAAGGTGTTTCTTCTTCCTTTCTCCACAACTGCTCCCGGGCGGGCCTCTGTTTACCCCATGGCTCTCTCTGGCCCTCACACTGGAAGGGCCTCCCAGCCACTGCTCACCGCTTCCTCTCATCACCCAGCTTAGTGAGGGACCGAAGACCGCCTCCCTGACTGAGAGGTCCACAGGAGTAGACCACATCAACAGCCACAAGCCACAGCACCACCTTCCTGTCCACCGGCCACAAACACAGTTCCACCAACGCGGCCACGAACAGTGGCTGTAACCTGTGTGCACCGTTGCCCACCGCACAGGCCTCCAGGGAGACTTGTTCAGCGCTCAGGGTGCTCAGAGGCCTCCCCCGTGGCCTCACATACTCATGTTTGCCCAAGGACCCTCTCCCCTGAGAGACAGAAAGCACAGCTCTTTCCCCGCCGCCCCCCCCCCCCATCCTGCTGCTACAAGCCGGGGGTGGGGGTGGCGTGGGATTTGTAGACCAAACATATGCCGCTCCCAGAGACTGGAGAAGGCCTGAATGGCCCCAAGAAACTTTCTCCCTTACTTTCTAAAGATAAAAATGCGGCTACCTCTGAATTAGGAGAAGATTCCAGGAGTATGGACTAAGATCTGCTTGTTTGTTTGTGTTAAGGTATTTTTTATATTGATGTTTAGAGAGACAGGAAGGAAGGGGGAGAGAGAAAGAGACACATTGACATGGGAGTGCAATATCGATCAGCTGCCTCCTACATGCCCCCTTCCAGGGATCTAGTCCAAAACCCTGACATGTGCGCTCATGGGGAATTGAACCGGCAAACCTTTCAGCGCACAGGATGATGCCCAACCAATTGAGCCACGCCGACCAGGGCTACTGAGGCCGTTTATGAAGGCGGCAGGAGTCAGAGCTGGGAGGGCCCCCCAGAGTACCGTTCGCCTCTTCATTTGCAGAGGAGAGGACTGGCACTCGAGGTCCCGGACAGGCAGGGGACGTGCAGGGCTAACCAAAGGCCTGGTGGGGATGAGGAAGGGGGTAGAGAGGCCCATGCCTTTTGTGCACCCACCTCCCCCGGACTACATCTGTGTAGCCAGCTGGGCTCCCGGGGGGGGGGGGGCTGAGGACCATCTCTGGGGCTCTTACTCCTCCCTGCAGCTTGCAACCCGGTGCCAACTCCCAACCAGTGAGAAGAGGCTGGTCCCACCTGCAGTCCTCTCGGGCGTTACCTGCTCTTGGAGGGTGAAAAACTAGCTGGCGAACTAAAGGCCCAGGGCCTGGCACTTCTGATTCTGGTTTGGTAGAGCCACCAGCTGGATCTGGGCCTCAGTTTCCCCTCCGTAAAATGAAGAGGTTGACTTGGCTGTTGTTAATCCTCACCTGAAAGGTATTTTCCCATGGATTTCTTAGAGAGAGTAGAAGGGAGAGGAGAGAGAGAGAAAGAGAAACATCCATGTGAGAGAGAGACATCAATTGGTTGCCTCCCGCACATGCCCCGACCAGGGCCAGGTTGACCCTGCAACCGAGGCACATGCCCTCTGCCCGGAATCGAACCCAGGACCCTTCAGTCCACAGGCCGATGCTCTATCTACTGAGCCGAAGCATTTTTCGAGGAAGCTACCCTTCAAATGAAATGTTTGGCAGAACTGCAATTGAGTAAAGTGGATAGAGAGGCACAGCAAGGTGCTGCGGCCTGAGGGGAGGGGAAGATGGGACTCTGAGTGGGGAGGGGGCGCAGCTGTACCGGGGAGGGGGGGAACCCTGGGAGTTCTGTGGACCCTGCGTGAAGAGGAGCACAGGCTCCGCCCCTCCCAACTGCCCTGCGTCCTGCTCCGGCATCCCTCTCCAGCATCCATCCCTCTCCAGCATCCCCGTCAACCCATCTACTGCCATTGCTCGGTTTGGGGGAGAAGGAGAGGCTGGAAGGTAGAGGCCATACGTTCTCCATCCCAGCGCAGGATAAAGAAGCAGCCTTAGCCCTTGTATCTCCCCTCAGGCCAGTTCCTAGCTCTAGGCACCTCGGGGGAGCCCAGAATGGGGGGGGGGGGGGCGGGCTAGGAACAAAAGGATTCAGCTCCTTAACGAGGAGGCATCTGCAGTCAGCAGAGCCATTAGTCTCCGCCCCTGGACCCTGGGGGTCTGTGAGCTCCTTCCAGCCGGAGTGAGGAGGGGCAGGCAGCTCCCCAGCTCCTGAAGGAGCAGGCCCCGGGGCAGAGACCCGCCCCGGAGCCTGGGTGCCCTCTCCACTCCTCAGGCCTGTTTCTAGCCATGCCCTCCTGGATGGAGGCTGAGAGGCAGAGAAGCCTGGAGGCAGCAGAGGGGCCCCAGCAGTGCCTTGCCCTCCCCCCACCACACCCCATCCCCACCCCCAGCCCCGGGGCTGACCTGCAGGCCCTTGGCCAAGCACAGCCTTTGGCCTGAGACAGGGCAGGCTGACCTCTGGGTGCTCCCTAGGGAATTTTCTCTCAAGCCTGATGGGGACACCAGCTGGGGCACTTGCCCCCACCGCCTGCTCGGAGGGCCCCAAGGTGCAGTTCGTATGGGCTTTCCCTTCCAGGGGACACACGTGATTGATTGCCAGAGTCACACGCCGGCCGCAGGAGCCCAGGGCTGCCGGCCGCCACTCACATCCAGCTGCGGACGCTCGGACCACGTGCACGGCGTGGTAGCCACATCCTCCCCGCAAACGGCGATCTGCACACGTGTGGGCAGGAGGCACGCACCCCCTTCTGCCGTGTTCTCCGGAGGCCCTGAAACAGGAGGAGGAGGCAGGGCAGGGGATTCGTATGCGTGTTTATATTTAATGAACCACATGCAAATGAGACGGGGAGCATGCCACAAAAGAATCAGCCCCCAGAGGCTCCTCCGGGAAGGAGGGCACAAAGGCTACGCCTTCCTGGGCCGCCCGTGGCCCAGGGGCCTGGAGGCAGGGGGTGCCCACCCACCCCAGGGAGCCGGGACCAGCCCCTGCACCCCTGCTGTGTGGGGGGAGGGGCCCTTCTGGGAGGGGAGGACTGTCCCAGTTGATGGAGTGCCCGAGGGGAGGTGCTGCCTGCCTGGACAGATGGTGAGCTGCCTTCCCGCACTTGAAGCAAAGTGGATTTTAATGAAATCACAGCCCCGGTGCTGAAGCTGGGAACCCGACAGGGAGGGAGGGAGGGGCCCCTTTTCTGGGCTTTGTAGGGTGAAGTTTGGGGACGGGCGGGAATGAGGGTGGGTGGGAACACTTAACCAGCCGAAAGCAAGCGAGGTGGGGGGATGCCACAGCCGCTGCACCAGCCACTGCGTTCAGATTCTCAGAAGGTGGGGAAGGGGCCCTGAATATTTATGACGCATTGAAATGTAGATTGGTGGGTCTGACAGTCCTCTGAGAGGCTTGTCACCTTGGATGGATATACCACCCCCTTGGGGTACCTTCTAGAAGCTACAGAAGAACAGGGATGGGGCGATAAGGGAGGGCAAGGAATACCGCTGGTGCCTGTGACCAGGGCTTAGTGACAGGTGGCCATGCTGGGCAGCACTGAGCTGCCGCTCCCCCTCTCTGGCCTTCGTTTCCCGTCTGTAAAGCAGGCAGCGCAGCATTTAGACCTTGCTAAGGGGATGAGGGGGTATAAAACTAAATCAGAAAGCAAGGGAGCCGAAACCAGTCTGCCTCAGTGGATAGAGCGTCAGCCTGAGGATTGAAAGGTCCCGGGTTCGATTCCGGTTGAGGGCATGTACCTTGGCTGCGGGCACATCCCCAGTAGGGGGTGTGCAAGAGGCAGCTGGTGGATGACTCTCTAATTGATGTTTCTAACTCTCTCTCTCCCTCTCTGTAAAAAAAAATCAATAAAATATATTTAAAAAGAAAGAGAAAGAAAGAAAGGGAAACGTAGGCAGCAGGACAGGAGCAGGGCTCGGAGGTCAGCAGCCCAAGATTTCCTGGTTAGAGGTTTGTCACCTAAGAATTTCTCTAGACCTTTCTCTAAGTGCGCCCGCCCGGGCTGTGTGACCCCTCAGGGAAGGTGGTTCCCACAGTGGGGGCAGGATTAGTGCTGAGGTGGCCCTGTGTCTGCCACTTCCAGGAACACCCCTGCCCCTGGGAGGGGGGTGAGCCCCTGGGTTCCAGGACACCGGCCTGGGACCGCCCCCCCTCCTTCCCTCTGCTCCTCAGCGCGTGCCTCTCCCTCACACGCGCTCGCGCTCTCTCTCTCTCTCTCTCTCTCTCTCTCTCTCTCTCTCTCTCTCTCTCTCTCTCTCTCTCTCTCTCTCCCTCTCTCTTTCTCTCTCTCTCTCAGCCATGTCGGACTTCCACGTGCACCCCCAGGCCGTCGCCGGCGAGGAGGGCGGCGTGGCCCGCTTCCAGTGCCAAATCCACGGGCTTCCCAAGCCCCTGATCACGTGGGAGAAGAACAGAGTCCCCATTGACACGGACAACGAGAGGTGAGCACGGGTGGGGAGTACTGGAGGGAGGGCGAACGGGTGGGCCCACCTGCTCCCGGGTGGGTTTCAGCAACCCAACCGAGTGTCCCCGGGGCTCGAGAGCCGGGACTGCAGGCTCAGGGATGCATCGTGAGAAGGGCCCTGACGGTTGTCAAGGCTGGGGTTGCCGGTGCATCGGCCTGTGTGTGTCTGATGGTGACGGTGACCTTGGGCCGGAACCAGGGCGCTGGGCTGTGTCTGTGAGGCTCAGGGTCCCTGTGGCCGGCGGTGCCGGTGCCGGTGCTGGGCGTCAGCCGTGTCCCCTTCCCCAACAGGTACACGCTGCTGCCCAAGGGCGTCCTGCAGATTACGGGGCTCCGGGCCGAGGACAGCGGCGTCTTCCACTGCGTGGCCTCGAACATCGCCAGCGCCCGTGTCAGCCACGGGGCCAGGCTCACCGTGTCCGGTGAGGGCCCTGTGCCCTGTCTGGCTCTCTCATCCAGCCTCCGCACTTCTCCTCCCTCTCGAACCAGCCCCCCTTCCCAGAGACTTGGGGTACCTTCTGAGCCCCACGTTCCGTGCTCCCCGCGGGGAGAGTTCGGGAGGGATCTCCGGCCGCTCCCTGGCGCAGCTCCGCCTGGGGAGGCCCAGCGCTGCTTGTCCGGAGGCTCCCCGTGCTGGGGCCCGCGGGCCGGAGCAGAGAGCTGGGCGCCAGCAGCATCCTGGGGCCCCTGGCCTCGCCTCTGCCTACAGGACTGACTTCCGGGCTGGAATGTTTCCGTCCCCAGGGCCTGGGCTGTGGGTGGGGCGAGGAGGTGGGAAGGGTCCCGGGGGAAGTGAAGAATCGTGGCCTCTCCCTCCCAGGCTCCGGCTCCGGGGTCTACAAGGAGCCGACCATCCTCGTGGGGCCTGAGAACCTCACCCTGACGGTGCACCAGACGGCGGTGCTGGAGTGTGTCGCCACGGGCAACCCGCGCCCCATTGTGTCCTGGAGCCGCCTGGGTGAGCCTCCTCCAAAGCCCCTGCCTCTCCCACCCCCCCACCACCCGGAGGGCCAGTCTCCTCACCCAGCTTTTGGGGGACGTCGAATCCTGTTTGTTCTCCGTGGGGGTCCGGTCTCTGCAAGGCCCGGGAGGGGGCCGGTTCCCTCTTGGCAGTACCAGGGAGGTCCGCCGGCCCCCTGCATTCTCCCTCCCCCCGCACGGATGGCTTAGCTCCCCGGGTTACCTCGTCCCATCCCACGCCAGTTCCTCCTCCTGCTCCCATCACCCTCAGCACCCCTGGTCTCTCTCCCCGCCTGCTCCCCTCTGCCCTCTGCACCCACACCCCTCTCCATCTCAGCCAGTTGTCACCCCCCCCAAAACCCTGGGGCCCCCCAGTCTCCAGCCTGGCCCCCTAAGTCCCTAGCCTAAATCCCTAGGCAGCTGAAGGAGAGAAATGAAAGGGTGCAGATGGGCCCGCATTGTCTGAGCAGAAAGGTCACGGGGGAAGGAGAGTCTGGAGGGCCGGGGTGGGGTGGGCATTCACCGGGAGACTGCACCACATTGTAGCAGCTGAGTGATCGGGGAAGGAGGGGGCAGCAGGCGGGATAATGGAGTAGATTTCACCACTTCAGGGACTGAATGGAGAGCTGTCTCCTTGCATTCTGACTGTGCTAATCTGATCCCGGGGTGGGGGGAGGGCCTGGTCCCTGGGAGAGACTGGAAAGAGTGGCCTCGCCATTAGGAGGAGCCCGTAGGCACCGCCACGGCCATCTGGTCCAACATTTCCCAGCGCGGGGTCTGCCGAGGGAAAGAAGAGCTCGGTGCTCTCACAAGTTTAGGAGATAGAGTTAACCAGGTCCTTCAGCTCAGGCCTCCTCAGGGCCTTTCCGAGAAGGGGCACCGTGGCAGTCCAGGAGCAGAATGGATATTGGGCCTTGGAACTCTTTTCAAGAGAGACAAACCAGGCCGGGCCGGCGTGGCTCAGTGGTTGAGCATCGACCCATGAACCGGGAGGTCACGGTTCGATTGCCGGTCAGGGCACCTGCCCAGATTGCAGGCTCCCTCTCCAGCGTGGTGCGTGCAGGAGGCAGCCGATCGATGATGCTCTCTCATCATGGATGTTTTTATCTCTCCCTCTCCCTTCCTCTCTGATGTCAATAAAAATAAATATTTAAAAGAGAGAGAGAGAGAGAAGCCAGGCAGGGAAAGGTCCAGTTCATTCAAACCCTTGCTTTCCTACGTGAAAAGCTGAGAGGAAGGGGCTTGAAGGTAACCGCTGAGGGAGTGAGGGTGCTCACTGGGACCCGGGTCTCTACGGCAAGACGAGAGTCCTCTGTGTTGCTCCCTCCGCCTCCACAGGATTCAAAGTCCCCCAAAAGCCGCATGAGACGCTCAGGAGGGAAGGTGCCGAGTCAGAGATGGGGGGGGTGGGGGGAGCCTGGAGGGCTGGTAAACCTGCACAGTCTGGAACGCCCCTGTACTTCCCCCTCTCCCGCACCCACCTCCCTGACCCTCCTCACTCCGACCCCCTCGTCCCTAGATGGCCGGCCCATCGGGGTGGAGGGCATCCAGGTTCTGGGCACCGGGAACCTCATCATCTCCGACGTGACGGTGCAGCACTCGGGCGTGTACGTCTGTGCGGCCAACAGGCCGGGCACGCGGGTGCGGAGGACTGCACAGGGCCGGCTGGTGGTGCAAGGTACCTCCCTCCCGCCCGCCGCCTTCCTCACAGCCCCTCCTCCTGCCCGTTCCTCGCCTCATCGACATCCCTGGCCCACGCCCAGCACCCTGGACACCCGGGTCTGCCACTCACCTACACTTGCTCTAACCCTCTCCCTGCCTCCCCAGGCCCCAGGCCCCAGGCCCCAGGCCCCAGGCCCCAGGCCAGCCCCCCGCACCTCTCCTCTGGCCCCCAGGAATGCGTGTGCTGGGAACGGGAGGACAGTCTTAGTCATGGGCCCCTGGGTGCCCCTTCCAGGTGCCAGCAAGCTCCCCCAGTCATCTCTCTTTTATAATCTCAGCTGGTTCTCCCCCCCGCTCCGTGTCGCTCACACGTGTCCCTCACACCACACGCCGTTTTCATTCACACGTGCGGCACTTCCTCGCGCACCCCAGCCTCCGCTCACACACAGCCGGCTCCCGCTCGGCAGCTCTCTGGGGTCATCCGTCCATCCTCCTCCCCGGGTCTGGGCTGTCTGTGCGGGGCCCGCCTGGAGGGCCGGGGCAGGGGTGGCAGCGAGGGGTCTGAGGGCCGCACGTCCCTGTTTGCGTAGCATTGCCTGTGCGTTAATCTGCCCGGGTGAGAAGGATGGAGCATTTCATTTCTCGGGTGTTAATGGAGGCGTGAGGCCCGGGATTGGAGGAGAGCGGAATTGGATGCAGGGGCGAGGGGGGCTGGCAACGAGGGCTCATCCATCTCCCCGTCATTACCGCCTCCGAGGTGCAGCCAAACCTATTAGCACATTTATTTATTTAACAATTTCCTGAACAGGGAGCTCAGCTTGATTGCTTTCGGATACAAATGTCAGTCTTTTAAACAGTCGTTAAGACGGAGCCCTCTCGGGGCTCTGCCTCTGGTGGATGGAGGTGGGACCCGCCGCCGCCTCCTGGAACCCCGGCCCCCCCCTGGAGGCTCTCCAGGCCTGTCCCTTCCCCCTCTCCTCACCGTCCCTTCCCACACCCGCCTCGTCCCTCTCCCCCGGCCCCTCACTGCGCGAGTGCTTCCCTGTGCGCCCCCCCAGCCCCAGCAGAGTTTGTCCAGCACCCCCAGTCCATCTCCAGACCAGCCGGGACCACGGCCATGTTCACCTGCCAAGCCCAGGGGGAGCCGCCCCCTCACGTCACGTGGTTGAAGAATGGACAGGTGCTGGGGCCCGGAGGCCACGTCAGGCTCAAGAATAACAACAGGCACGTGCGTGCGTGCGTGCGTGCGTGTGCGTGCGTGCGTGCGTGTGTGTGTGTGTGTGTGTGTGTGTGTGTGTATGTGTGGTGTATGCTGGGGGGAGGCCGGGCAGCCTGGGCGCCTCCCCTGGGGAAGGACGAGGCTGGGAGTCAGAGACTGGGTGTGAGTCTCCCGGCTGCCGCTCACCTGCTGCGAGACCTCGGCCCAGCCGAGCAGTCTGTTCTCCAGAGGAGCTCAGTCTCTTATCTCCCGAATGGGGGATGGGGGGGTCGGCCTCCTGCAGGGGGCTCTGGGAGGAGGCCGGGCCTGAGGCTCTCCTCCCCCGCAGCACCCTGACCATCTCCGGAATCGGCCCGGAAGATGAGGCCATCTACCAGTGCGTGGCCGAGAACAGCGCCGGCTCCTCGCAGGCCAGCGCCAGGCTGACCGTGCTGTGGGCGGAGGGGCTGCCCGGGCCCCCCATCAACGTGCGGGCGGCCTCCGTGTCCTCCACCGAGGTCCGCGTGTCCTGGGACGAGCCCCTGGTCAACACCAAGGAGATCATCGGCTACGTCCTGCACATCCGGAAGGCCGCGGGTGCGTGGGCCCAGCCGGCGCTGCAGCCCGTCCTCGTGGTCACGGCTCCTCCTCCCTTTCCTCCTGCGCGGCCCTGCCCGGCACCTTCCCTTCTTTCTCCCCGCTGCACCCAGCTGCCCTCCCTTCACCGGCGCTGCCCTGCCCCCCCAGACCCCCCGGAGCTGGAGTACCAGGAGGCAGTCAGCAAAGGCACCGCGCAGCACCTGGTGAGCGACCTGGAGCCCTCCACGGCCTACAGCTTCCACATCAAGGCCTACACCCCCCGGGGGGCCAGCTCCGCCTCGGCCCCCGCCCTGGCCAGCACCCTGGGCGAAGGTGAGGCCTGGTCGCCGTGCACAACACTCGGGCCCTGGGGTGAGAGCAGAACCCGCGCACACCTGTTGGGTCGTGCACTGCGCGGGGTGCCTGGGTCTGAGGGGGCAGAGGGGCTGGTTCTGTGCGGAAGAAGGGGTGTCTCACTCGTGTAAGGGGGGTGTCTCTGGCTTCTGGCACAAGCTGGAGCCAGAAGCCAGAGAGCTGTCCAGCTCTTGGGGGCCCGGGTCACCGGCGGAACCTGGAAAAGGTCCTCAGATCGTGGCCTCCTCCTGCGCCCGCAGCCCCCGCCCCGCCGCCCCTGTCGGTGCGCGAGCTGGGCAGCTCCACGCTGCAGCTGCTGTGGGAGCCCTGGCCCCGGCTGGCCCTGCACCGCGGCGGCTTCAAGCTCTTCTACCGCCCAGCGAGCAGGGCCGCCTTCACCGGCCCCGTCGTGCTGCCCGGAACGGCCTCCTCCTACAACCTCAGCCAGCTCGGTGAGGCGGACACAGCCTGGCCCTGGGGAGTCTGGCCAGGGGTGTGTGTGGTGGTGGGGTGCCCGGGGGGGTGCCCGGGGCCAGGCCGCGGGGCGCAGGGCTCACCGCTGTTCCCTGCTGGGGTAGAGCCCCCGCCGGTGGCTGGCTGGCCTCTCAGCCGCCTTCCCCGCGTTTCCCCCCAGACCCCACGGCGGTGTACGAGGTGAAGCTGCTCGCCTACAACCAGCACGGGGAGGGCAACGCCACGGTCCGCTTTGTGTCCCTGAGGGGGGCGTCTGAGAGGACAGGTGAGGCTTGTGTTTGGGGCGTGAGGCTGAAGGCCGGCACTCAGGAACGGAAGCCGGGGGCTGTGGGCAGAGGGGAGCAGGGACCCGGGGGCAAGTCAGAGGGCAGAAGAGCTGCATGCAAACCTTGAGGCTATAGGCTTAGGTTTGAGCTCAACGTTTGGCTGTGTGACCTTGGGCAAGTTACTGAACCTCTCTGAGCCCTAGTTTTCTCCTCTATAAAAGAGGGAGAAGAGCTGAAACCGGTTTGGCTCAGTGGATAGAGCGTCGGCCTGCGGACTGAAAGGTCCCAGGTTCGATTCCGGTCAAGGTCATGTACCTTGGTTGCGGGCACATCCTCGGTAGGAGGTGTGCAGGAGACAGCTGGCCGATGTTTCAAGCTCTCTATCTCTCTCCCTTCCTCTCTGTAAAAAATCAATAAAATACATTAAGAAAAAGAAAAGAGGGATAAGAATACCTGTTGGGACGGTAGGGGCACTTTAGCGAGCTGTGTGGAGGGGCACAGTGTTATTCTCAGTGCCTGGCACATAGTACTCGGTCACTGGTAAGAAGAGCTGAAAAGTTCGCGCTGGAGTCCCGGAGGCAGAGACAAAGATCTATGGACTTGGCGTGGGAGTGGCTCCTGGAGAAGGAGCCCCAGAGGCTGGGGGTCTGGGCCAGAGGAGCCACAGCCCCCCCTGCCCCTCCCCACAGCGCTGGGCCCGCCGTGCGACTGCCGGAAGGAGGAGGCCTCCGGCCAGATGTCCACCACAGGCATCGTCGTCGGCATCCACATCGGGGTCACCTGCATCATCTTCTGTGTCCTCTTCCTCCTGTTCGGCCAAAGGGGCAGGTGGTACTGGGGCAGGAAGAGGGGCTGGACTGGCCGGGGGTGGGGGGGGGGAGGTGCAGGGGGAGGAGGAGGAGGTGCAGGGGGAGGAGGAGGAGGTGCAGGGGCAGAGGAGAGTCTGGGCTTGCTGTCTCTATCCTTTTGTCATTTCCCACCCCCACGTCCTTCTCCCTAACTTCTGGACCCCCCACCCCGCAGGGTCCTCTTGTGTAAGGATGTAGAAAACCAGCTGTCGCCTCCTCAGGGCCCCCGGAGCCAAAGGGACCCTGGCATCCTGGCCCTGGACGGGGCCAGACTGGGAGATCGGGGCCCCCTGGGCCGAGGCGAGAAACGTGCAGACATGAAGGAGCTGGAGCAGCTGTTTCCCCCGGCGGGGGCGGGGGGCCAGCCAGACCGAGGCCCCGGCCCCGGCCCCGGCCCCTCGGTGAGGGTTCCTCCCCCCCCCCCCCCCCGACCCTGCCCTCCCTGTGCCTTCACCCCGCTCCCGGTCTTCTCGGGACACAAAACACGCCTGTGCGCCCTGGGCGGGAGGGGGTGCGGGGCCCTGGGCGGGAGGGGGTCCGGAGCCCTAGCTGGATGGGGGTCCGGGCCCAGGCCTCTGGCTGAGGGCACTGGGCCCTGGCCTGGTGTGGGCGCCGTGTGACTGGCCCGCTCCCCAGCAGGACGCCGCGGCCGCTGCCCCGTGTGAGGACGCCCCGCTCTCCGTGCTGCCGCGTCAGGGGTCCGGCCTTCGGGAGGCGAGGACGGCGGAGGCCCAGGCTCCCTGCGCAGGCCTCGCCGCCACCCCCCCACCTCAGGACGCAGGCTCCGGCCTCCTCGGTGAAGGACACGCCGCCCGGCCTTCCTCTGCGCCAGCTGCCCAGCCGGCTCTCTCGGGACAGTAGCCGAGGGGGGCCCCCCCCTATTCTCAGGTCAAAGGCAAGGCTTCTCCAGTCGTGTGGGTCCGGATGGGGCTTCCCAGCACTTCTGACAGGAGCTCGGCGGGGCCCCCCACAGACCCGGAGGGTCTCTGCGAAACCCCTCCCTCGGGCTAGTGCCCCCTCACCTCTGCCTGGTACCTGTAGGACTCGGAATGAACTGTTTTTCCTTTTAAAAAAAGAAAGAAAAGAGAGAAGAGAGAGGAAGGTGAATCAGACTCCAAAAATATGCCCTGCTGTGGCCGGGCCCCTGGCACTGCCACCCTCCACCCACCTTATTTTCTCAGGATGGATTTTTGCCGTTTTGGTTCTCAGCACCTACCTCAGCCGGAATGAATGTCCTTGGGGGCGTGGCCGTGGCCTCAGCCCCTCTGCCCCCACAGCGCCCTGAGTGCACTCCTACCTCAAGGCCCTTTATGGGCACCCCCTCTCCTCCCCACACTGTAGTTTAGAGTAAAAAAAAAAAAAAAAAAAAAAAAGGCGCCTCCCCATTACCAGGTGTAAAAGAAACGTCTACCTCAAGGCTCCCTGGCTCCTGGGCCTGTGCTGTCACTGGACCCTCTCTCCTGGCTCCGCCCCCTGCCCAAGCCCTGGCTCCGCCCACAGCCCTGGCTCCTCCCCTGCCCGAGCCCTGGCTCCGCCCACAGCCCTGGCTCCTCCCCCGAGAGGAGGCCAGAGGCTGTCACCAGGGTTAGGCCTCGCGGGGCCTGCAGGAATGAAGATGGAATTGGTCAAAGAAAATGATGGAGGGGGAAAAGCCAAAAAAGAGAGGAAAATTTGTTCCTTAAAATGTAAATTGTAGCTCTAAACTAAGCCACCTCCCAGCACGCAGCCGCAGCCCGTGCTGTTTCGTCTCACCTGCTCCATCCGCTCCCATTTTGACCCTCTCAGCCAACTCATCCTGGCCTGGGATCCCCACAAGCCTCTCTTTCCTGGGCCTTGGGAGGGTGGACGTCACTCTGAAGCCCGCCTCCTGTCCCGCCCAGACACGGAGCCCTGGAGGAGGCTGGACCTGGAATGTACTGTGTGCGTGATGGTGTGTGTGTGTGTGTGCACGTGTGAGTGTGCATGGGGAGGGGTCCTCTGTCCCATGGGACACAGCCAGCCTGCCCCGCCCCCTGGACAGTGGAAAGACCGCTGTCAGCAAATGCGGCCGGAAGCTATTTTTATACAAGGTGTGTTCAAGGGTTTTTATGTTGGGACTGCTTGTTTCTCTTTCCTGTTGTGTTGTTCTTGGAAACACTTAGTTAAAGAAGGAAAAAGAAAACCAAGGAGACAAATACCTATTTTTTATTACACTCGGAAACATTTTTTTAAATAGCAGAGAGAAGCTTTTTTTTAAAGGAAGAAAAGATAAGTGTATCCCCTCCCGTGTGAGGTTAGACTGTCAAGTCCCTGGCCCCCAGGCCTCCAGGCCCCTCGCCCTGAGCGCTAATTAGCTAAAGCAGGTAGACTGTGGCGTTTCCCTGGAAGACGGAGTCGGATCAGAGGGGACTCGGAAGGGTGGCCCGTCCGCCCCTTCTCCCAAATGCCGGCCATGCCGAGGGCGACTCCACGCTCCCAGGCAGGGCCCCGGCCCCGCCCTGGCTCCTCCGCACGCCCTTCGCCCATAGCCCCTCCGGTGGGAAGGGTGGGGGCCACCCGGCCTGACGGGGCCTGGCTTTTGTCACACTCTGCTCATTGTGACTGAATAAAAGTCCTGTTGCCAAAGTAGACCTCGCGTGTGTTGATGGCCGGGCTGGGTCCTGGAGGAGTGGGTGAGAGAGAGGGCCAGGCCGGGCACTCTCAGGGTCAGAGCCCGGGCTGAGGACAGCAGACGGCCCCGTACCACGTACAGGCCCCGAGCATGGGAGGGAGGGAGGGAGGCTTCCGGGGTCCTCGGCGCCAGTTAAGGGAATGGGGGCTCTGAGGAGGGACTCTTTCCAGGGCACAGTCAGAGCCCTGGCCAGCCTCTCCAGTCCTCCCTGCCCTCCCCTCCGTCCAGGCTCCGGACACCAGGTGCCGGAGCTGCCGAGGCTGCGGCCAGGCCAGGAGGCCTGGAGGTCTCGGCGGGCCTCGTGCTTCCTGAGCGGCAGTGTGGCAATGCAACGGCGCAGCCTGTCCCTGTCCCCTCTGCGGCCGAAATGGGGAGCCAGGGCTCGCTGCTGGGAGGCTCTGCCCGTCTGCAGGGCAGGTCCCCTACCCAGAGGACCTTTCGAGAGGAACGCACCAGGACAGTGGTTTGCAAGCCGGGCGACCTGGCCGGGGCCAGGGGGCTGGGGGGACTTCTCCGGGGGCTGCTACCCTCCCTGCCCACCCTCCTCCAGAGCAGGCCCACTTCCAGCTGCCTTACACACCGGGCTCGACATGAGATTCCTTACAAAGGGCTCGCTCTGCTCTTGAAAGAACGCTTGAACGCGCTGGCCTGGGTTTCCAGAGCAGCCTGTGGGCTGGCTGGGGCGGAGGTCAGGCTAGGAATCCACGTCGGTGGCTGTGGATGCCTGAGGCCACCAGGGAACCTGTCCTCCTGGGGAAGCGGGGATAGACTTGCCCTGACTTTCCCAGAGCAAAGAACTGAACCCAAACTTAACGTGGACAGACCACCTCACCTTGGCAAGCACAGGGACTCTTCAGCACCCCAGCCATCCAAGAGCTGCCTGGGAAGGTGGTGGGTTTGTCATTCATTCATTCATTCATTCATTCATTCATTCAAGCAGGCCCTGCAAGTGTGAGAGAACAGACCAGGTCATCTCTGGCGCCCCTGTCCAACAGCCCAAGATGCTAATTCCTCCCCCTCAGAGGCACCAGGTAAACACGTAGAGACCACCTAACAGGACTCATGCAGAGGAATGCCAATGGCACACCATTACATCGAGCACAGGTGGGGCCTGTTCTAAAAGGGCCCTGACCGGGGCTAAGGTGGCGGGAGAAGCAGGGTTCCAACGAGGAGTCCCGCAGAAATAGAGGTCAAAGCTGGGCACCCCATCTGGAGACAGGGCCCTAAGACCTCACATAGTCTAGAGACCTCAGGCTGAAGCACTGCCCCTGCCACACGCACATACGTGCAAAGGCATACACACACCCTCCCTGGGCAGAAAGCAGCAGCAGCCTGCTGCAGTTAATCACTGCTCTGGAACAAACCGCCCCGCCAGTGCCCGGTTCATCCTAACGTTCATTTGCTCACTGCTCTGCTCAGGATGGGGAAATCTGGCTGGAAGCAGGAAATGGAGGAGTGGAGGGTGAGAGAGTCTGCCCTGAACTCTGGATTCAGGCCAGAGTGAGGGAGGGGGACACCTGAGCCCATGCCCCTCCCACAGGACTGATAATGGGGAGCTCTGCTGCTCCTCTGGATCCTCACAGAGCCCCCTGGGGCAGGGGGGCAGGAGGGCAGGGAGGCAGGGAGGGGGAGAGCAGAGGCTGAGAAGAGGACTGAGGGAGGAGCCCGGCGGGGAAGGGCCTTGCTTCTGGAGCTCAGGGGGGACCTGCGCTGGACTTGGAGCTCCAAGCACACAAACTGCCTGCTGGTCACCCTGCGCCATGTGCCCACTGCCACAGCGTAGGGCCTGGCCCTGGTCCTCACTCCAAAATGCCTGCAGCCTGGCCTAACTCTGGATTAGGCAACAATTCTTTGATGAAAAGCACAATCAAAAAAGAAAAAATAAATAGATATACATTGAATAGCACCAAAATTTTAAATTTTGTGCTTAAATGATCAAGAAAATGCAATGAGCCAAAACCGATTTGGCTCAGTGGATAGAGCGTCGGTCTGAGGATTCTGGTCAAGGTTCGATTCTGGTCAAGGGCATGTACATTGGTTGCAGGCACATCCTCCTGTTTCAGGAGGCAGCTGGTCGATGATTCTCATTAATGTTTCTGGCTATCTATCCCTTTCCCTTCCTCCCTGTGAAAAATCAATAAAATATATTTTTTTAAAAAATGCAATGAGCCCTAGCCAGTTTGGCTCAGTGGATAGAGGGTTGGCCTGCGGACTGAAGGGTCCCGGTTTGATTCTGGTCAAGACATATGCTTGGGTTGTGGGTTTAATCCCCAATGGGGGGCATGCGGGAGGCAGCCAATCAATGATTCTCTTTCATCAATGATGTTTCTATCTCTCTCTTTCTCTCCCTTCTCTGATATCAATACAAAAAAATATTTAAAAAAGAAAAAGAAAATGCAATGACAACCATAGAATGGGAGAAATAATTGCCAAGCATGTCTCTGGTAAGGAACTTTTATCTAGAAAATATAAAGAACCCTTATAATTTGATGATAACAACAATTCAATAATAAAAATACAAGTAACCCAATTTAAAAATGGGCAATGGATCTGAATAGACATTTCTCTAAAGAATATACATAAGCCCTGACTGGTTTGGGTGGAGCATTGGCCTGCGAACTGAGGGGTCCCAGGTTCGATCCTGGTCAAGGGTATGTATTTTGGTTTTGGGCACATACCCAGCTGGAGGGTGTGCAGGAGGCAGCTGATCGATGTTTCTCTCTCATCGATGTTTCTAACTATCCCTCTCCCTTCCTCTCTGTAAAAAAAAAAAAAAAAAAAAAAATCAATAAAATATGTATTTTTTTTTAAAAAAAAATACACAAATGGCCAATAAGCACATGAAGAAAGGAAAAGTAAAACCACCGTGAGATATCAGCTCACTCCCTCTAGGATGGCTAGAATAAAAAAGTCTGACAAGGCTGTGGAGAAATCAGATGCTAATATTCTGCTGGTGGGAATGAAAAATGGTGCAGCTGCTGTGATAAACTATCTTCTCTTCAAAAGGCTGAACATATAGTCACTACCTGACCCAGCAGTTCCATTCCTGAGTGTATATTCAAGAAAAATTAAAACTTGTTTCTTAGTAATTAACTGTCCATTTTTATTGGGTTCAGACCAGGAGTCCCTGAGTCGTGAGGATCTCTGTGCCTCTCAGTTTTCTGTAGGCCTGTTTCTGTAGCTGCATGAGCTGCTTTTTCTTCAGGTACTG